GCTATCACTTTGTGAAAGGCACCATGGTCTGTAATGAGTTGGACTGCACATGAAACAAAAATTGAAGCATGAATTACCATCTAATTAAACTTTGGGAAAGTCTCCAATATCTTGTAAGATTGTTCATTGAGCACACTGCCAAACATTAGAGAAGGCTCTTAAAACTTTATTAACCTCTTCTTTTATTTTGTCAAAGATGTTGAGTACTTTAATAATATCTATCTATCTATCTATCTATCTATCTATCTATCTATCTATCTATCATCTATCTATCTGAAAATAGCTTCTTCCCGACCATAGTTTCTCCTCCCTCCACTCCTCACAGTTACCACCCACCTCCTTCTTCCCATAGATCCACTCCCCCTTGGTTTCTCAGAAAAGGCCAGGCCTCCAAGAGATGACAGTCAACAAAACAAAACAAAACAAGATAAAATCTCTCACATGTAGGCTGGTCAAGGCAACCCAATAGGAGGTAAAGTGTCCCATGAACAGGCTAAAGAGTCAGTGATATACTTACCCCCACTGTTAGGAGTCCCACAAAACCACCAAGCTGACAGCCCTAAGATACACATAGAGAATCTGACATTGTAGTCTCTCTGGCATGAGAAGATGTTCTGCAGGTTATGGAAATAGAAACCTAGACAACAATGATCTATATTTTTATATAATGGTATAGTGGATAACACTGATCTTTGGTAAAAAGATCTTAATTTTTTTTTTCTGTTCGATTTTTTTTTTTTTTTTTTTTTGGTTTTTCGAGACAGGGTTTCTCTGTGTAGCTTTGCGCCTCTCCTGGAACTCACTTGGTAGCCCAGGCTGGCCTCGAACTCACAGAGATCCGCCTGGCTCTGCCTCCCGAGTGCTGGGATTAAAGGCGTGCGCCACCACCGCCCGGCTCTGTTCGATTTTTGATAACTTCTTATATGTGTAGCCCATCTTGTGATCCTCTTCAGCACCCCTTACACTCTCGTAGGCCCCTTCCACTCCCACGCACCTTTGTTTCCTCCTGTCTAATAGCCTCTTACTTATATCTTCTTATTGTTGTTTGTCTTATCTTATGTGGTCAAAAAAGCTGCTTCATGTTCATGAATGCAATGGTCCTGGCATGTTTGGAATGCTGTATTTCATAGCCCCTCTCCCCATTCTCCAGTCTTGCAATATTTGTGCCCATTCTTCCGTGATGAGGCCTTGGAGAGGGAGATGCCACTGTCCGATGCAGGGATGAATGCTCAGCTGTCATTTATTCTCCACACCTTGACTCTCATGAGTCTCCACATCAAGTATCACACACCAGAAAACGCAGCTTCAAAGTCCTTGTTTCGTCAGTCATAGAGCCTATATGGGAAATCAATCATTCTGCCAGGTGACCTACTCCAACTGTGCTTGCAAGGACCTGAAAAGCTCAAATCAGAAAGAGAGAAGTTGAATAGAGGAAATCTTACGCTTGATACCAAAAATTCATTTCTATGCATGTTCCCCAGCTGACAGGCCAGTGTCCACAAGTGCCCCCCACCCCCAGCTTGGGTCAGCTGTCTCTGTGTTTTTTTTTTTTCCCCATCACGATCTTGACTCACTTGCTCCTATGATTCCCTCCTCCCTCTCTTCAGCTGAAGTCTAGGAGCTCAGCCCAGTGCTTGGTTGTGGATCACTGCATCTGCTTCCATCAGTTACTGCACATGGGTTCTGTGATGACAATTAGAGTAGTCAATAATCTAATTACAGGGGCCCTCTGAATGTGGGTGACAGTTATCTGGCTAGATCTCTTTGGGGAGCCCCTGGCAGTGGGACTAAGACTTATCCTGGGTGTAAGAAATGGCTTTTTAAGAAAATGTTTCCTAGGGTGGGATACCTTGCTCAGCCTTGACACAAGGGGGAAGGGGCTTGGTCCTGCCTCAACTTAGTATGCCAGACTTTGTTGACTCCCAAGGGAGGCCTTACTCTTTGAGGAATGGAGGAGGGGTGGGGTGAAGGGAAGTAGAGGGTTGGAGAAGGGGAGGGAGGGGGAACTGGGATTTGTATGTAAAATGAAAAAAAACTTTTTAAAAAATAATTTCAAAAAAATTCATATCTATGGGACTATGAAGTGACGGCTATCCCAAGATTAGTTGTGCTTAAAATATGTGCTTTCTTCTTCAGGGCACAATTACTTTGGTAAATTCACACTTGGTTCTTTCAGGAAAAGAATAAGCTAAGACAGCAATTGAAAACATGTGCTTGTGATCTCATGAAGAGTTAATTTTTTTGACTCAAAGTACCCTCTTCTTCAATCCAGAAGCTTTAGGTCTATGGTTTTAATGATGTACTGGTGAAGAATAGAAATTCTGTCTATATACCATATTTGTACAATTAAATATTTTTTAGGGGAAAGGGGGAATAATTTGATACATCTAGACTCCAACTTCTTGTTGTAAAATAATGAAGCCCAGATTATTTAAATATATTCCTATGACCAAATTCAGTTGTCTCTAACAATCCAATTCACTCTAGTTTCTTATCTCTG